CTTGTAACATATTATCTTTTCTTTTTTTTACAATGCTAAGAACTTCTATTGACTGACTGCTTGTAAAGCATCGATTACAAAGCAAGAATTAATGCATCAAAATTAGATATAGAGGGTAGAGATACACCATTTGATGACGATATCTGTTAGATCTACATCACCTTTCCAGCTTTGAATTTCGTAAGTCAATTTTGAAAATAGATTTTTAAGCCATCGTAAGGGTTTTTGGCATCCAAATTACATCTTTTAGTAAGATTTACACATGCACATTTGCTTAATTGTTTGTTGTTGCCACCTTATACAAACCATATCTTAGAAAAAATTATATAAGGCATCAACCTCTTTTTCTCTTTTCCTTTATTAATGCAGAGAGGTCACACTCACTCCTAACCAATGTTCAAAAATGTTGAGGTGGATGCCTAGGCGGGGTGGCTCATGACTTAGGCTCATTGTACTTTATGTAGGAGGGGAAGAGAGAGGGCTAAGGTTGTCGCCCTTGGCCTAGGCGGTGCGGCTCATGTCTAGATTTCAAATATATTGACAAGGAATAATTACCACTTTCTTGTACTAAAAATAAACAGTTTCTTAGTATACATTCTCATAAAAAAATCCCATAGCACTCGCGATTCATATAAGGAAAAAGTTTAAGAAAATTGTTGTATCCATTGGGGGACGTACTGTGTTTCCCCAAGGCATAGAGCATCCATCTTAAAGATGAGTGGACACTCTAAAAAATTTAAAATTAATGATCCAAATATTTTTTTCATAAAATTATTATTTTTAATTTTTAAAATTTATTTATTTTATATACATTCATGATCTCCATGTTAGAGATTATATGTTTTTTAAAAATTAGGTCCAAAATTCAATCTCGAAAATAAATTTCTAAGGGAGGACTCATTTCTACACATCTCAAAATTTAATGGATGCACATGCTTGATAGCGCATTCAAATATGATCTCATACCTGCTCTATTCACCTCTCCTCTTCAATGTTGACTATGTAAAAATGATCTAGGTTTTCATTTCCATTGATGCACCCATTAACTATTTCTAAAAATGGGCAGGGCATGTATTCTCCATTGATCTACCCAAGAGAAGAAAACAAAATTCTTGCATTGTAAATTAACTTTTTAAAACCCAAAACAATCCAAATGGTTTTCAGCCCACTAGGAAGCCTTTTATTTAGGGGAACTATTATCAACATTCCCTTTTGCCTTAGTTGTTACCTTTGACCGGTGTGATAAATTTGAAGCAGCCATCTCATCGAATTGGTCACATGGTTGTCCATGTCATTCTTTTGGGAACATGAGTCACCCACACAGGCTAATGTCATTGAAGCTAAAGCATGTTGACGCCTGAGGTCATGAAGCCTCTCGTGGCCTTGCCTACAATTGCGGGCTTATTATTTTATGGGAGAAATTTTATGTTTTATTTAAACTTATCCATTAATAAAAATTGTTTTAAAGTAATAAATAAATAATTAAAGCTTTTTTTTCAACGTTCATAGTTGGATGAGTATCCTTGAGATTAGTGAAGTAGTTTTCTCAGAGACCTGTTGGAGAAAATGGAACATTGGCCCTTCTTCTTAATATAAATATGGGAAGCCAGAGAGAGAGGAAGAGACAAAAAAACATAGAGCAAAGAAAAATTTGAGCTATGAAAGATAGTTTTTCTTCTCTATCTAAAAAGTAAAAAGGTCTTAATCTAAAATTCGGGCTCTACGATCACCAGCCTTAAGGCACGACTTCTCTGATCTGGGGGTTTGGTGTTCATCCGCGCTCCATCAATTTTCAGTAATATTGGTATTCGAGCGATCCAGGTTTTATCTTACTCATATCCTGACCTTTTATTTTATTGGGTATAACATTGGTTATTTAATATCTCTCTCCCATCGATTGGTATATTTTCACAATTAGTGCACAATATGTTTTTTTTATGTATTCTTTTGATAGTAAAATTGATGAAGCATGGAAGAGACTAAACCCGAGATCAGAGATGGGGTGCCGTGAGGCTGGTGATCGCAGAGCTCGGATTTGTTATCCCTTCACTTTTTAAAGAGAGATATTACACATTTTTCTTGTTATTCACATCCTCTCTCTGACTTCCCATTTTGTAGGGAGAAGAAAGGATAACCGTTGTATTTTTCCAACGAGTCTCTGAGAAAAAGAAGGGGTTCCTTGATCTCCAACTGGTCTCTGAGAAAAACGAGGGGTTACGCTCATATGGACATTGGACCATATGACCGTTGGATAT